TATTTAAAATTTATTTTTTTCATTATTAAGATAAAAAATCATTTATTAAATATTTTAATTAATTAATTTTTTTTTAATATTTCGGGGGCTAATTGATTTTTAAGGTATAATTTGCAAGGTAAAATAAAATTCCAATTAAAATTTAGTACCACGCCAGCAAGTTTTATTTGATTGTAGACGGAATGTGAAGGTAATGGTCAAATTAATCAAAATTTTAAAAGTTTGGAAGACAAATTGATATTATACTAAGTATGGGGGCCAAATTAAAAAATGCATAAAAGTTTAACAGCTAGAATGCTATTAATGTGTTGTGTTGAACAATTCAAAAGGAATATCTAAATACATTGGTAGTCTCTCTTTTTTTTTTTAATTTTATTCTACCAAATCTATGTGATTTCATATTATATTATTCATTATCTAAATTCAAAAGGAACATCTAAATATATTATGGTAGAGGTTTTTATCAAATCCATGTGATTTTAAATTTTATAATTAATTGTGCAAACATTAGCTCCACTCCAACAATAAAATTTCACAACATCACTGTTAATTCAAACAATAAAATAATAACTATTTGCCGATCACTGAAAGTGCAAATGAAAACTGTGACCCAGAACACAACACTCACTGCATACATCTCACTTGCATGCTATTGATTTACAATTAAATTCTCATTATTTTATACTTCACTATAATTCTCCCCATGTTCTACTTACATCATCTACAATAACATGTCATTGAATCCAAAGAAGTAAAACTAGGGGTGCAACTCGGGCGGGTTCGGTCGGGTTAGGAGTCTGCCCAAGCCCGACCCGAATTGTATTTGGCAGTGCCTAAGCCCGCCCAAGCCCGACCATGAACTCGAACATTGCTGCCCAAGCCCGGCCCGAGCATTGTATTTTGAGCTCGGGTTAGCCCGAATTGTCCGAATTACCCGAATTGCCCGAGTCCAGAAACCTGTAGGTAGATCTAAGGGTAGACATAAAAGATGCTAATCTAATGGTAGAAGACTAACAAAAAATAAATAAAAAATAAAAATTAAGACTAACTCTTTTACTTAATAGAAGACTAACCAAAAAAAAAATAAAAAATAAAAATTAAGACTAACTCTTTTACTTAATAGAAGACTAACCAAAAAAAAAATAAAAAATAAAAATTAAGACTAACTCTTTTACTTAATAGAAGACTAACCAACTGTCTTTAGCTGCTTTAATTTTTGAACAATTCTGAATCCGGCCCACCCTGTAACAGTAGTGCTGCTCCAAATGTTAACAAAGAACTTAAAGAAACTTGGATGGAGAGTCCAGGCATTGAGAAACTTGAAAGGCTTGGGACCCCAGTCTCTTTCATCTTACATCATCTACAATAACATGTCATTGAATCCAAAGAAGTAAAACTTCAATTCACAAAACTTCTGCAAACCAATAGCCAAAAACCAAAAGTTCAAGGTCTTAAAAAATTCTGGCTTGTGCTGACGCAATAAAGAACTTGAACCAAAAAAAAAAACTTCACCATATTTTTCAAAAATAGCAACAAGGTATGGTAAGCCAAGAAAAGAGCGCCTGCATATCTGCACCCAAAAGCCAACTTTCACTAGATGAAGCGCCACTACGATCCATCAGTCTTCCTCCAAGAAAAAAAGGGTTTGGTTCCTTTCCAATGTTTTAGCCTCTGCACATCCAGTTCATTAAATTATAAGTTAGACAGTAGCATACTCTAATCAAAACCAGTTTGGATCTTTCAAATGAATTGTCATAAATTTTTTGGAAGATTAGTTGGTCAGATTTTCTACAATTGGCCCCAATCTAAACACGGGCCTCAGCTTATTTAGGTCATATCGTCTCTTTACTTTTTTGCACGGTTTTTCATAATAAGCCAATAAGTCGAGAAAAAAAGCCACCTCCCAAAATAATGATAAGAATTGATCGGTGTATATACAGAAGAAATGCACCATTACTTGGCACAAGGTTATTTTTCAGCACCAGGTTATTTTTCAGCAAAAATGTACCAAAAAAGGAACATGATACATTTACACACGAGCACAAATTAGGAATTGATCAATGTATATACAGAAGAAATGCACACCAATCAATATTCGTGCTCGTGGCATCAAAGAGATTACTGGTCTACCTGTAGAGATGAATTATATAACTGCTGCAGAGTTTTACCTAAACAACATACACCATGTTGGATTGTCTACATGAATGTCACAATAATGAATAATGACCTCAAATCTTCTGCCATAGCATCAAGCATGGATAAATCAATTTAAGTGTGACATGATTGTTGCAGGAAAGTAGCCGTCAGTACTGAATACTAATCAATCTAATGAACTTGCACCACAGCAGCATACACCCAAATTTATTTCCCAACAGCTACAAAGTGTAATATCTTCATAATATGACCAATCTTGCCAGTGCGTTTACATTGTTAACGATGATCCTATGAATACTTTGTGGTCCATGATAATGGTTTCAGCTGAACTTCATTCTACCCAAAACACTATACCTTTATAGAGAGCCCAGAGCACATATTGCAGTCAACACCAACCCAAACACCTCTAATATCACGTATGTCGTGGATATCTAGTGATTTTTTCTTGCTCTTCATTTATTTATTCAACTCTTCGTTTTTCTTTTCACCTTTTTTTTTTTTTTATGAAGAAAATGAACCTAACAACTGAAAAACAGCAGCAGCCAAACATGAGTGTGAGCGAACCCTTAAAGAGCAATGTAGATCTCCAAGCTTTGTTTTTTGTTGTCTTGGGTCAAGAGGATTGAAGGTACTCTGCAAGAGAGCTTATGTTTGCACCAACTGCATGAACTTTTATGAGGAGCCATGAAAAAGGCTGGATATAATGATTGAGAAATCAGGTTGTTTTCCCCAATCAGATTGGATAAACGGCTTCAAAACTCCAAGCTGAAGTTTCAGAAATCAGAGGGGATGAAACAAGAAGACTCAAACCTATTCTATCCACCTGCAATCCCAATATTTCTCACTACCACACCAAGCATTGTGATTGTAACTCCAAGCATAAAGGATCCATCACTATCATTTTGAATCCCCGAAGGCACAAGGGACCTCTGCCCCTTCCCCTTTCGAAGATTGGGAGGGGCAGGAGGCAGTTTAATGCCTGAGGGTTTTGATAACAATCTTCTCGGGAGACCTAGAATCCCTCAAATTGAAAATCATTGATTTATGACATGGTGGTAAGGAGGAAAAAGTGTTATAGGACAAGAAGCCACATCAAGGAAAACGCTGAAGGCAAAGGAGAGCTATACTCTTGTAAGAATTCTGAAGAATTTTTGTATATTCAATTGTATTTACTGAACAAAGAATACATCACTTATATAGAATACTAAATCCTAATCCTAAAAAGGAAACAAGAACAAACCTAAACCTAAACCAATCGTAAATAGGAAACAACAAGAATAAACCTAAACTAATCTTAAATAGGAAACAATATTCACATAAAATATACTATACTAATATTATTCTCACACCCCCGCTCAAACTCAAGGTGTTTGGGCAGAAAACACTGAGAGTTTGCCAAGAAGAAACTGAAACCGAGCAGTGGTGTGAGTTTTGGTAAAGAAGTCAGCAAACTGCAACGCCGAAGAGACGAAAAGAAGCGAAATAGAGCCAGACTGCAGATGCTGACGAACAAAGTGACAATCAATTTCAATGTGCTTGGTCCGCTCATGAAGACAGTGTTATGTGCAATTTGAATAGCACTACGGTTGTCACAATAAAGGGAGCTCGGGGAAGACTGAGGGATGCCCAAGTCAGAAAAAAGACAATGAAGCCAGACAATTTCAGCAGTAGCATGAGCCATAGCACGATACTCAGCTTCAGCAGTAGAACGAGCAACAACAATTTGTTTCTTACTTTTCCAAGAGATCAAGGAATCGCCAAGAAACATACAGAAACCAAGGTTGTTAAGATCACGATCCGGATCGTAGGATCGTACGATCCTACGATCCATTTTTGGAGAATCGATCTGGATCGCATGATGAATCGTATTTTGTTCAGGATTGTATCAGGATCGGTAGGATCGGATGTGGGATCGTAGGATCGTATTTGGATCGCGATCCTATACGATCCTACTTTTGGCCTTTTTTTTGATATTTTTATTATAGGTTTGATGCACCTTCTCTCTTTTCTAAAGACCCACGACATAAGATTAGGGCAAAATATTGGGGAAAAGTTGGTCACAAGAGCTGAGCAGCCTCCATCCAGCCTCCATCCAGATTCCAGGTATGCTTCTTCTTCTTCATCTTCATCTTCTTCTTCTTCTTCTTCTTCTTCTCTGTTCGACTCATTCTTCTCTGTGCTTCGACTCCTTCTCTTCTCCTCTGTTCGACTCCTTCTTCTCCTTTGTTCGTCTTCTTCGACTCCTTAGATCGGTCAAAAATGGGGTGTCTACACTCTGCTACTGCTTTTTTTTTTCCCTCTTCTTCTATTTTTCTGTCTTTCATTCCCCTTTTGTTTTTCCCCCTTTTCCCCTTCTTCTTCCATTTTTCCCCTTCTTCCATTTTTCCATTTTCCTGTCAACCTAATTTTGAACTTGTAATTTTTTTTTGCAGATACCACCAAGGAAAAGTGCGCAGATACCACCAAGGAAAAGTGCAGCTTCAATACAGGTTTGTTCTCAATTAATTTGTAAATTGTAACATGACTTTAGATTACCTAGTGTTCATGTTGGCAACAGTTGATTCAATTCAATGTTTGCTCTGTCTTTTTATTAACATAAGCTAAAGTTGCTTATGATTATGTAGTCTTTCATTTGTAAAGTAACTTCTAAATTCTAATTTATCCTTATCTATAATTTCAATGAGGCCTTTGTAGGGCATCATGGTATTACTATTGTAATCAATTTATTTTTGACTGTAACTTGACTTTGTTCTCTCTAATATTTCACAACTATCAAATTGTAAATTGTAGTCAATTGATTCAGTGATATTCAATATATGATTGTAGGTTTGTGAATTGAGTTAACAATGTCTGCCTCTGATTCTGGAAGAGGGAGGAAGAGGAAAAATGTTGCGGGTAACCAAACGAATCCTGGTTGGGAACATGGAATTGAAATAGTTACTGCAACCAAAAAGGTACAATGCAAGTATTGTAACGTGACTCGATCGGGAGGTATATTTAGATTAAAACATCATTTAGCTTGTACTCATCAAAATGTTGAGTCATGTCCTCTAGTCCCAGAAGATGTTAGAGGAAAGTTCATGAGTCTTTTAAGAACTCAAACATTAGAGTCTCAAAATAAAAAGAGAAAGATGTTTGATGTTGGTGATGATTCTGAAGAGGAGGTGGAACTATTATCATGTCATCATCAAAACAAACAAAAACGGGTGGGTGCCATGGATAAATTTGTGATGAAGAAATCTGGACGTCAAAATCAAAAAACTCTCAATCAAATGTTTAAGAAAGAAGAGAGAGATGATGTTTGTTAAACCATAGCTCGTTTTTTTTACACTAGTGCAATTCCTTTTAATTGTGTCAACAACCCTATATTTCCACTCATGCTTAAGAAGATTGGGGATTATGGAAAAGGACTTGTGCCACCATCTTACCATGAAATTAGGGTGACATTTTTAAAAAAAGAAGTGCATGAGACACTACAATTGGTTGATGAGTTTAAGGAACAATGGAAGAAGACCGGATGTACAATTATGTTGGATGGATGGTCAGATAGAAAGAGAAGATCCATATGTAATTTTCTTGTGAATAGCCCTAATGGAACTATTTTCTTGTCATCACTAGATACATCCGACATTTCAAAAACGGGTGAAAAGGTTTTTGAGATGTTAGATGAGGTTGTTGAGAAGGTTGGCGAAGAAAATGTTGTGCAAGTTGTAATTGACAATGCTTCTAATTATAAATTGGCGGGACAAATGTTAATGGATAAGCGAAAGGGCTTGTTTTAGACTCCTTGTGCCGCCCATTGCATAGATTTGATGTTAGAAGATTTTGAGAAGGAAATACAAGTTCATCGTGTTACAATTGGTAAAGGAAAAAAGATTGTGGCATACATTTATTTAAGAACCAATCTTATTCATTGGATGAAGGAGTTTACAAAAGACATTGAACTTATACGGCCTGCGGTAACTCGGTTTGCTACCTCTTACTTGACATTGAGACGTCTTCATGAGCAAAAAGGTGCATGGTTCTCTCTATTTACATCAAACAAGTGGAGGAATAGTAGATTTGCGAAGTCTGAAAAGGGGGAAAAAATTGAAAATATTGTTTTGGACAATCGATATTTTTTGAAGGGTGTTTCTACCTGCTTGAAGGCTGCAGTACCTCTCATTAAGGTACTTAGGTTGGTGGATTCGGATGAGCATCCGGCAATGGGATTCATTTATGAAGCAATGGATCGTGCGAAAGAGGAAATTCAAAAGAATTTCAATAATGTCCTAAGATGGTAAACTTTTTATTTAGTGTTGGCTATTTATTTACTCTTTAATACGATTTCCCTAAACTTTTTATTTATTCATTAATAATATTTATTAAATTGTGTCAGCTATGATCCTATATGGGCCATCATTGATAGAAGATGGGAAACCCAACTCCATCACCCATTGCATGCTGCAGCATACTTGTTGAACCCTCAGCTTCATTATAGTCCCAATTTTCAAGCTGATGCAGAGATTAAAATTGGGTTGTACAAATGTCTTGAAAAAATGGTTCCTGACACTAATGAGAGGGTGAAGATAGATTTGCAAATTGATGCATTCAAGAATGCAAGAGGACTCTTTGGTATACAAAATGCAATCTTGACTAGAAAAAAGAAATCTCCAGGTTATTTATTTTTACCCTAACTTAAGTTGATTTGTAAGTTGTATCAATCTTATGTTATGATTATTTGTTTTGAAGAACTTTAAATTTTGAACTACTTAATTAAAATTTCAATGTAGGGGATTGGTGGGACTCTTTTGGTGATGAATGTCCTGGGTTGAAGAGGTTTGCAATTAGGGTATTAAGTCTAACATGCAGTTCATCGGGGTGTGAGCGCAATTGGAGTGCTTTTGAGATGGTACACTCAAAGCGGAGGAATCGTTTACACCAAAAGAGAATGAATGACTTTGTCTTTGTCATGTACAATTTGAAACTGAGACAAAGGCACAAGAATAGACAAGCAATCACGAATCCATTATGTTTGCATGATGTTCCATCAGACGATGAGTGGATAACAGAGAGAGAGAAGCCGACTCTTCCAAGAGAAGGAAATTGGTTGAGTGTGCTTGATAGGAATGCTCGACATGGATGTCATTCAGAAGACGAGGAGGTAGATGCTCTTGCAGGGGATTTGGAACAAGCATGTAAGTCTAGGTACATGATACATCTTTTAGTTTTAATTAGAAGTTGCAATTTGGATTTAATTTGGATTTTTTTTTTTACTCTAACTTAGGCCGTGACCATATTGGAGAAAATGTCGATAAAATTCATGAAGTAAGTGATGATGATGATATGGATGACAACATAAATGTTCCAAGGGATTTTGATCATGACTTTGATGATGCTACTATTGGTGATGATGACATTAAGGAGTTGGGTGACACTGTGGGTGATGATGAAGATGAGGGAGACAATGAGATCAACAATGTTGTTGATTGTGGCAATGACGATTTCGGCGATGAAGATGGTGACTTATTTTAGTCTCTTGCTTATTTATTCTTCTCTTATTTTAGTTTGTTTTGTTAAGGGTATCAATGTTGTGCAAGTGTTAACTTGAAGACTAGAAGTTGAATTGCTATTTTCTTTTAGTATGTTCTTTTGTTAAGATTTGAGGAAAATGTTTGAATGATAACTTGAATTGCCACCTTCTTTTATTATGTTTTCTTTGTTTAAAAAAATGTGCAAAATGTATATTTGAATTGATTATTGTTAGTGAACAAGGCACACAAGTGAAAATGCAAGGATTTGAACCTCGATCTGCTCATAAGTATGAGAGCTCTACCATTTGAGCTACATTCTCAAGTTTTTTTCTGTCATTTTATATGTATTTTGTTAGTATTAGTTAGACATATAAGAATTATTGCATTTTTTCATCGTTTTAGTAGGATCTTACGATCCCCGATCCGATCCTACGATCCGATCCTCCAGACCCCCAAAACGATCCTATGTAAGATCCCAATCTTGACAACCTTGACAGAAACCAGACGTGGACTTGCGATCAGTAACATCACCAGCCTAATCAGAATTAGCATAGGCCACCAAATCCAGAGAGGAAGTAGAGAACAATAGTAAACTCTGAAAGATAGTACCTCGGAGATAGCGAAGAATTCGAACCAAGGCAACCCAATGTGTAGAGCGAGGAGCAGAGACAAATTGGCTAACCACATGAATAGCATAGGCAAGATCAGGACGAATAGCTGTCAGATAGACTAAGCAACCCACGAGCTCTCGATATAGAGTAAGATCATCTAAAAGAACCCCATCAGTAGTGTTGAGCTTTACATTAAGCTCAATATAGATATCAGAAATCTTAGTGTCAGTAAGATCGGCACGATGAATAACCTCATTGGCATACTTAGCTTGAGAGAGAAAGTAACCCTTGAGAGAAGAAGTTACCTCAATACCAAGAAAATACTGCAATGGGCCCAGATCATTCATTTCAAAGGTGCGGAAAAGATGCTGCTTGACCTCATATATAACAGAAGAGTCAGAATCAGAATCAATAATGATCATATCATCCACATATAATAATAGCATAACAAATCCAACAGAGGTATGGAGAAGAAATAAAGAAGAGTCCTGGGCACAAGGATGAAACCCAAGCTCAGTAACAGCAGTACGAAAGCGATCACACCAAGCACGAGAAGGCTGCTTCAGACCGTACAGAGCACGCCGAAGGTGACAAACTTGTCCAAAGGAATGGTGAAGGCCAAGAGGAGGACACATGTAAACCTCTTCAATGAGATGGCTATTAAAAAAAGCATTCTTAACATCCATCTGATAAAGAGGCCAAGAACAAACAGCAGCGACAGAGATTAAAGTACGGACAGTAGTCATCTTGGCAACAGAAACAAAGGTCTTCTCATAATCAATACCATACTCCTGTGAGAAACCTTTGACAACCAGACGAGCTTTGTAGCGCTTAAGAGAGCCATCAAAATGAGTCTTGACTTTGTAAACCCATTTGCAACCAACCAGATTCTTACCATCAGGCAAAGGAACCAACTCCCAAGTACTAGTTTTCTATAAAGCAGACAACTCATCCTCCATAACTTGAACCTAATGAGGATCCTGACAGGCCTCCTTGTAAGACTGGGATTCTGAAAAAGAGTGAATAGCAGACAAAAAAGTACACTAGGAAGCAGAAAAACATATATTAGACCATGCCAACCTGTTTGGAGGATGACATGCTCAAGTAGGATATCGGTGTGCAACAAGATCAGAGTCGTCAGAAGCAGGAGGATCAACAGCAGGGGCAGAGACAACCGGTGGAGAAGGAGCCTTGCGACGAGAATAAACTAACGGAGGAGGAGAATAAACCGAAGGAGTAGTAGCCAGAGGTGAAGCAAGAGGAGAAGATGAAACAAGCTCATGAGGAACTGTGGAGATGTACTCATCAGACGGGACCTCAGAAAGAAACGGATCAATATGAACCAAATCCTCTTTGGAAACTGGGGCGATGAGAGGAAGAAACTGAAAGTAAGGTAGACGTTCGAAAAAAGAAACATGACGGGAGACATAAAGACGATGAGAAACAAGGTCGTAACACTGATAGTCTTTCTGAGTAAGACTACAACCCAAAAAGACACAGAGGACAGACCGGACACTAAGTTTGGTCCTATTTTTACGAGGAAGATGGACAAAACAGATAGACCTAAACACACAAGAATGGAGTAGTTAGGAATTTGGGAGAATAAAGCCTCATAAGGAGATCGACCAGAAAGAATGGGAGTAGGTATGCGGTTAAGAAGAAAAGCAACAGTAAGAACTGCCTCTCCCTAGAATGGAGCCGGAACTAAGGTAGAGAGAATAAGAGACCTAGCTGTCTCAAGGAGATGACGGTGTTTACGCTCGGCTCGATCATTTTGGGCAAGTGTATCTGTACAGGAAGTTTGGTGAATAGTACCCAAATTAGCCAAATACTCAACACTCATTTTTAAAATATTCCTCACCCAAGTCAGACCATAACACTTTAATTGTAGACCAAACTGAGTAATAATCATAGACTGAAAGGTACGGTATATCTGATAGAAATCGGACTTATGAGTCATAAAATAAACCCAAGTGTAACGGGTGCAGTTATCAACAAATGACACATAGTATGCAGAACCCCCTTTGGTGAGAACAGGAGAAGGGCCCCAGACATCAGTTTGAACTAAAAAAAATGGTATAGTAGATATAGAAGTACTTTTACGGAAAGATAAAGCTGTCATTTTGGCAAGTTTACACCCCTGACACTCAGTAAGTTGACTAGGAAAAACTTTACCCAATATACCTGACTGAGCTAAAGACTGTAAGCGGTCAGCAGACAAATGCCCTAATCTGGAATGCCACAAATAGAAAGAACTTGACAAAGAATCTAACTGAAAAGAAAAAAAGACAGTCGGAGAAGTGGTCATAGGTAAATGCAAGCTCTCCACCACATAGAGGTCTCCAACTCTACGACCAATCCCAATTTGTTGCTTGGAGATCCGATCTTGCATAGAACAAATAGAAGAAGAAAAAATAACATCAAAACCAGAGACATCAAGTTGACTGATAGATAATAAACTGACAGATAACTGAGGAACATATAAGACAGATGGAACAGAGACTGCAAGCATAACAGACAGTAGGACAGACCCAGGAGATACAACTGACATACCAGACCCATTAGCAGCATTGACAGTAATAGGAAAGGGAAGGGGAGTGCAATTCTGAAGAAAGAAGAGATGGGAGTCATATAATGAGAGGCACCAGAGTCAAAAAGCCAAACAGACGAAGAGATACTTGAAAAAGACCTAAGCAAACTTGAATGAAGAGAGGAAACAATGAAAGCAGACAAAGATGGCTAGAAAGTAGACAGTGTATGCTGAAGTTGACTAATCTAAGCACTCAAGGAAGCCAAGTCAGGATCAGGAGCTGGAGCAGATGCAGTAAAACCGACGGAAGCCTGAAAAATACTCGGAGAAGAAGGGCAAAACTAGGTCCGAGACTGCTGAGAATACGAGCCAGACAGACATCCCAATCCCTTCTTGGGACAGTGATACTTCTAATGGCCCCTCTGATGGCAGAAGACACACTCATCTGAAGCAAGGAGCCCATTCTTGGGCTTTGCGGAAGCTAAACCCGTCATCATCATAATGAACCAAAAAAACAATAGAGAACCATAATAAACTGAAAGCTAATAGGGCAACTATGTAATATCAAGAAACTTGTTTGGTCCAAACAAGAATAAAAGAGAACAGTGGTCAGCCAAAGAAAAACACCCAGGTCCACTAGACTCAGAACAAGGGAGAGAAACGACGAACCAAAAATAAGAGGTTAGGGTTTTGAACACAACTCTGATACCATGTAAGAATTTCTGTATATTCAATTGTATTTATTGAACAAAGAATGCATCACTTATATAGAACATTAAATCCTAATCCTAAATAGAAAACAAGAACAAACCTAAACCTAAACCTAAACCTAAACCTAAACCAATCCTAAATAGGAAACAACAAGAATAAACCTAAACTAATCCTAAATAGCAAACAATATTCACATAAAATATACTATACTAATATTATTCTCACAACTCTACCTCAATAGCGTTGGGTTTTTTTCATTATTATTAAAATACCTCAATAATATTGGTTGAAAGATAGAGTAATGAAAAGGTCATGTTCTAATATTCTACCCCATAACATTTGCCACTCCCCGACATTAATTTCACTCGAATTTCCCTAATAGGTATACCACGATACTAGGTAGTAAAAATTTCAAGTTAAAGTAAAACACACTTGGCAGACAAAAGCTACAAGGCAAATATGGATGAAGTATTTGCAAAGCCATACCAACCTCAAGCTCTTGTTCTACTCAAACCAAACCCATTGCCTTCTAATCAAGTATATTTCATTGCGAAGAAGAGGAAGAAGATGGTAGGCAGCTCCAGGCTCTTCCAAACTTAAATCCTTATTTACATAATGTGTTCTTCCAATAAAAAATTACAAATTTAAAATTTTAAAAAAAAAAAACGCAATTATTATTTATTTGGGTATATGGCTTCCCTCCACTGGAGGGTGTTGTTGTGCTCGTGAAGGCTCACCACAGGTTCTGTTTCGATAATTCGAACCGTTCAATATGTAAAACTTGTCGAGTACTATGGCCTTGTTTGGTTTGATTTTGGGAGACAAGTTTTCAAAAAATATTTTGGAGAGAAAGTTTAGAAATTTTTGTAATTTGTTTAGTTGTATATTTTGAAAATAATTTTGGAGTTCAGAAGTTTGGGATAATTTGATATTTTGTTGTAACTGAGTAGATATATGTGAGAAAAAAAAAGTG